TGCCCCATGTGAAGAATCATGCTTCTTTTCTAAATGCTGAGAGTGGGCCCCTCGTGGTGGGCAGGTTCCCCGCGAACGGAAACGCCTTCCCTTGGTTCCCTCCAGCAGGGTTCAGACAGGAGCCAAGATCTGGGTCCGAACAGTGGGTGGAAAACGCCCCCTAGAGGTGTGATGTGTTGGCTGCAAGTTTGGCAGCTGGGCCTGGGGACACCTTCACCAGGTTGCCTTCAGTCGGAGGTTCCCCCAAAGCCCAACTTCTAATTTATCTGCAACCACAGGCTACTTTGGTCAGAAGGGAAATAATTAGATCAGAACCTTAATAGCATTAATTTCCCCCGAATAGGAAGAAAGCGAACGGTGGGGACATGAGAGCTGTTAATTAGGTGACGACTTCTCCCACCTGGCTGTGCTGGAAAAGCGCCTCTGTGGAAGACACAGCATCCAGGACAGGAAGAGGCAGGCTCGGTGGTGTTGGGTCAGAAACCCCCCGCTTCGTCTGGCAGCCATGCAGTCGCCAGCACCTCTGAGGCCACTCAGCCCGGGAAAGGGGACGACACAGCTGTGCTCAGCGTCTGGCTGCCATGCAGTCCCCAGCACCTCCCGGGCAAGGCCACTCAGCCCAGGGAAGGGGACAACAGAGCTGTGCTCGGTGTCCAGCTATCTGGATGAAGCCCAGGAGGATGGCCTATGGTGGAGCAGGAGGACCTGGGGGAACAAAACCCACAGCGGCCACCCAGCTCCAAAGGCTGTGCTCTTTCTACGATGTCTGGGATCTCAGGTATGAGTGGCAGAGGGAGCAGTTCCACCAGCCATGTCAGCCTCGCTGCAGTGGAATTCCACTTCTGTCCCAGAGACTCAGCCAGAGGGGAGGAAACTGTGACCACAGGCATGTGGACACGCAAGGGTATGTTTGAGTAAAGTCTTCTAAACCTCCTTTCCATTACACCCAACTCTCATGACCAAGAACCAGGTGTCCCCATGGGGTTGGGAGATGGGCACCCTCTGGTTAGCAGTGGTCACCCCTTTCCAGAGATGACATCAGCTCACCAGGCAAGAAACTCCACTTAGTCAGAACCCAGAGCCAATCTGGGGAATGATTCACACTAGCTAGACTTATACAAGACTGATCTATAACCTGGAAGGCTTGTATGTTCGCTAACCATGGGAAAGCCTTTCCAGGGCCTGAGCATTTCCCACCTGGCATCCAAGTCTTTTGTTCCTAGGATCAAGATATTTGGGGAGCCACATCCATCTTTTGAAGGAAATTTGAGCAACAGGGATCATAGAGTGAGGATCATTCATTCCATCCCCATGAGTGAGGGAATGGGTCAGTAGGTTGCCATCCACAAATGGCCACTGTCCACCTGCTATGTGTTGGCCTTGCCTGGGAGGTGGGGGACAGTAGTACCACACCAGACCCAGCCCTGGCCCCCTGGAGCCAGCTGATAGCCTGGCAGTGGAGGCACACGTTGAACAAATCATCATCCATGATTCAGAATGACAGGTGTGCAAAGTGTGTCCCACAAAGAACTTGCCGAGTGAGAAACACAGGTGTGTGGCCATAGAGACCAAATGGGGCCCTCACAGCTGGGTGTGCGCAGGAGAGAGACAGGCAAAGGGGTGGGGGCAGGCATTTGCACCCTAGGGGGCTACAAGGTGATTTGCAAGGGGAGCCCAGGTGAGGGTCCACAGGGACTAGAGCAGGCCAGGAAGGGAGGTGGTCAGGGGTTGGCTGGAGCCAGGCTTCTGAGGGTTGATTCCTGGCTCTGCTGTCAACCCAGGCAGTTCCCCACTCTACTCATCTCTGACTCCTCCCCTCAAAGCAGGCGTGACAGTGGCACCTGCCTCAGAAAGGAGGGGGCGTGTGGGGAAAGCGGGTATTTCATGACGAATGCCCAGCATAGAGCCCTGGAGACAGTACCCCTGCCCAGGTTCCCACTAGAGTAGGCAGACAGCCCCAGCTGGGATGAGCCAAGCGTGTCTCCATGTGGACCCAGCCCAATCTGGGGCTCAGCACCCTCGGGTCTCCTGGTCCGGGCTCCTGTCTAGCCCTTTTATGCCATCTTTTCTCAATAGGCACAGGTACAGGGGATCCCTGAGGGAGAAGGTGCTCCAGACTGAAGGAGGAGAGTACCTGGCTGGGACGGGATGGGGAGGCGCAAGGACCCCAGGGTATCCAGGGAACAGTAAGGAGATGAGTAATGGTGAGGGTCCCGTCTCCTGAGCGTTTCTGTGCTAAGTGGCTGTGGGCTGGGTTTCATTCCTCTTTAGAGCAAGGCTGAGGCCAGGCCCACCTAGGGGCCAGGGTAGAGGACGTACCACGTGACAGCAGTGGCCTAGACCCCTCACGAAGTCTTACTGGGCCATATCTCCACCAGGTCATGGCAGGGACCTGTATCACCAGCGGCACCCTGCACAGATGGGGACGCTGGGGCCCAGGTCCCAGACAGCCAAGCCAGCTCTTCGACCACTCAGCGGTCCCAGCAGGTGAGGCTGTCCACAGTCTGCATGGGCTAAGAGGCTGAGCTCACCAGTGCCAGCTCTGGTTGGTCACCAGGATGCCAGAGCGCGCTGGCACAGGCCCAGGGCACCCTGCAGAGCAACCAAACCTCACGGAGATCCTCAGGGAAGGGGTTGTTGTTGGCCCATGGTACGGAGGAGGACACTAAACCCTCAAGAGGCTCAGGGCCTCGCCCGGTCACACAGCTGGAAGGCGCCAGCACCAGGAAAGGGACCCGGAAGCCAGACCCGGAGCCTACACCCTCAGAGGCGAAAATATCTGAGCAGCCGGTCCCTGGCCATGGCCCGTGGTGGGCGTGGCCGAGAGGGAATGGGGCGGAGAGAAGCCCGTGAGGGCAGGGCGGAGGCGGGGCGGGCGGAGCCGGCGGCCGCGGCAGCCTTGATTGGATGCCGCCTTAAGCTCGAATGGGTTTTGACTGGCGGCCCCGCCCCTGATCCGCCCCCGAGCCGCCCTCCCCAGCGCTTCCCCGCCCGGCCCCTGCCTAGGCCCCGCCCTGGTCACGCCCCCTCTGCACCTCCCGGCCCCGGCCCCGCCCCGCGGTGGGGCTTCCGCAGAGATCCGCGGTTAACGCTTCCCCAGAGCTCGGGCTGGGCGGCCGGGAGTCGGAGGCAGGCGGTCAAGGCCGGCAGGGCCGGACCCCCTCCTTGCCCCTGCTCCCAGGAGGCGCTGGACTCCGGAGGCTGGCGTGAGGCCCTCGATCCCGCGCCCAGACCCGGGCAGTGAGCCCTATGCCTGCAGTAATTGTGGGATTGCTGGTTTTGTTTTTACCTTAGCACCTTTATTGAGATCATAGAGTTCACCCGCTTAAAGCGCACGATTCGGTGGGGTTCTGTTGCGAGCAACCGTGGCCATTATCTAATTCCAGAGCATTTCACCTCCTTAAAAAGAAGCTGGGCCGTAGCCCGGCGCGGTGGCTCAAGCCTGTAATCCCAGCACTTTGGGAGGCCGAGGAGGGGGGGGAATCACCTGAGGTCAAGAGTTCGAGACCAGCCTGGCCAACATGGTGAAACCGCGTCTCTACTAAAAATACAAAAATTAGCCGGCCGTAGTGAGGGCCTGTGGTCCCAGCTTCTCGGGAGTCTGTCGGGAGAATTGCTTGAACCCGAGAGGCAGAGGTTGCAGTGAGCCAAGATCGCGCCATTGCACCCCAGCCTGGGCAACAGAGCGAGACTCTGCCTCAGAAACAAAAAAGAAGCCGATCCCCATCCGCAGTGACTCGCGTTTCCCTCCCCCTCCCCCGTCCCCGGCAACTGTGCGTCTACTTTCTATTTCTATGGAGTTGCCAGTTCTGGCTCTTCCTGTGAATGGATTCCCATGCTGCGTATTTTGGTGTCTGAATTCTCTGACTTTCGTCTCAGCCCGCACCCACGCTGCCGCAGTCCGCGCTCGCGGCTTTTAGGCTGAACGCGGCTGCGCCGTGCGGGTGCCCGCGCTCCGTGCGCCCCTAGCCGGTTCAGCCCCGGTTGGGGGCGGCGCTAGCCTTGCGGCTGCGGATCCCAGCCTGAACCTGTGTCTTGTTCCACCGTTGCGGGCGCCCGCCACGGAGCTGCTGCCTCCTAGGGAGACGGTTCCATCGTTGAAGGAACGGCCGTTCTGTCTTTCGCAGCAGCGACTCCATCTGGCCCCACAGCACGACCGCACGAGGGTCCCGAGTCCGGATCCTCGCAGTACTCGCCACCCCGGCCGCGTGGTTGCGGCGGTCTCGGCGGGGAAGGGGGTCCCCACGCGGGCTGGTTCGCGTTTCGCGTGACCGATGGTGCTCATTGGCCATCTATACATCTTTTTTTTTCTTTTTCCCGAGTCGGAGTTTCTCTCTTGTTGCCCAAGCTGGATTGCAATGGCGCGATCTCCGCTCACTGCAACCTCCGCCTCTCGGGTTCAAGCGATTCTCCTGCCTCAGCCTCTCGAAGTAACTGGGATTACAGGCGCCCGCCACCACGGCCGGCTAATTTTGTTGTATTTTTAGTAGAGACGGGATTATGCCATGTTGGCCAGGCTGGTCTCGAATTCCTGACCTCAGATGATCCTCCCGCCTCGGCCTCCCAAAGTGCTGGGATTACAGGCGTGAGCCACCGCGCCCGGCCCATCTGTACATCTTCTTTGGAAAAATGTGTATCCAAATCCTTTGCCGTTTTATAGTTAGACTGTCTTTTTATTATAGAGTTATATTTATACCTTCTGCAAGGAAGTTCCTTATCAGATACAGGATTTGCAAATACTTTCTCCCAATCTGTGGGTCGTCTTTTCACTTTGCTGATGGTTTTCTTTGAAGCAAAAAAGTTTTCTGTTGTTGTTTGGGTGAAGTGTTAGAACACTTACTGTGCTTTAAAGAGGAACACGTTTTAAGCACCCCCGCACGGGGCGGAGCAGGGCGGAGTCCCCGGCGGGAAGGGACCCGAGGCCTCGGCTGCGCCTGCGCCGACGCCGGCGCGTGAGCCGGAGCTCGTGCCTGGCGGAGCGCGCGCCCGCCCCCGAGTGCGCCTGCGCGGAGCTCGTGGCCGCGCCTGCTCCCGCCGGGGGCTCCTTGCTCGGCCGGGCCGCGGCCATGGGAGAGGCCGAGGTGGGCGGCGGGGGCGCCGCAGGCGACAAGGGCCCAGGGGAGGCGGCCACCAGCCCGGCGGAGGAGACAGTGGTGTGGAGCCCCGAGGTGGAGGTGTGCCTCTTCCACGCCATGCTGGGCCACAAGCCCGTCGGTGAGCGCCCAGGCCGCGGACGCGCGTGGGGGCGGGGCGGGCAACCGGCGGGGCGGGGCGGGGCCTGCGCTCGCGACACCCGCGCCCCCACGCGCCCCGCCGAGCCCGGGCCGTGACACCCCCGCCACACCCGTCCCGGGACCCCCGCCCCCTCCCACGCGCCCTTCGGACCCCGCCCCGGACCCCGCCCCCGGCCCCTACCCCCGTGACACCGCGAGGCCCCAGCCCGCAGCGCCCCACCCCCACCTCTGCCCCGGGACGCCCCACCCCCTCCCACACACACCACCCAGCCCTGCCCCCCGACAGCCTCTCCGCACCCTGGCCCGCCCCATCCCACCGCGGCCACCCTTGCCCCTCCAGTCCCCAGGGCACCCTGTCCCCCCCATCCCCTTTCTCCTTCTCCTCCCCTCTGACCGGTTGTCCCGCCGCCCCTCCTTCCCCCAGGTGTGAACCGACACTTCCACATGATTTGTATCCGGGACAAGTTCAGCCAGAACATCGGGCGGCAGGTCCCATCCAAGGTCATCTGGGACCACCTGAGCACCATGTACGACATGCAGGCACTGGTGAGCCCAACCACCCTCCCTGTGCTGCCCGATGGGGGCACGAACCCACACACCGCTGAGGGTCAGCCTGAGCTGGGCAGAGCAGAGGCCCCTCCATGCCTGCTGGGGTCTGCTGGGCAGAGCCCCCTGCAGTGAGACCCATCCTTAAGGAGGGCATCCCAGGGCTCCAGAGCCTGTCATGGAAAGCACAAACACAATGCTAGCAGCTGGCCAGCTTTTCAGGGGGCCTGCTTTAGACTGGGTGCTGGGCCAGAGCCTCCAGCTGAGACCCTGGGGAGGGAGGGAAGGATGCAGAGTCCCCAGGCCCTTAGGCCCTTGTCAGCCTCCCGGGATGCCCCAGAAGTGCTTTAGGCAGAGGGTGACCCTATCTGAGTCACACCAAGGTGAATTTGGTGGCTTCTGTGGGAGTCAGGCAAATAGAGTCCCAGTCCTCACAGAGCTTGGAGCTGGCAGTGTGTGACGGGCGAGCACGTTAACTAGGTAAGCAGGCTGGCCACAAGAGACAGGTGGGTGTTGCAGGCTCTGTGGCAGCAGGAGGTGGTGGGTCCAGGAGCTGAAAGAAGGTGGTGTGCTTGGAGAATGGGGTGGGGGTCAGGGGTCAGGTGACCAGGTGGAGTGGGGACCTGTGCTGGTGGAAGGAGAGTCTGTGCCAGCCACGCTGGACTCAGGGCCACACCAGCCCTTCCAGGAAGACATAGGGGCACCACTGAGGCAAGGAATGCTTGCCGTTGACATTGGTGGAGTGATGTGGGTCTCCTTGTCATAGCTGTAGAAAGGGGACAGAGATGCCAGCCGTGCAGGGGCCTGGCTGTCTGAGGAGAGGAAGGATGCTCAGCCCTAGAAATGCCCTGGAAGCTTAAGCCCCTGTTGCTGCCGCCTCGTGTGTTGAGGACGTTCTGAGCCAGTGCGGCATTTGCACTGGGTGACCAGTACCTAGTGGCCCAGACACAGCTGGCTACTAAGCTCACAAGGTCCTCCCTGGACCCGCTCCTCCCTAGAGCGTATCCATCAGCCATTGAACCCTGGTCACCACCCCTCAGGGTCAGAGGCCCCCTGTCACCAAACTCCCAGCAGCTTCTTGGTTGTGGGAGAGGGCGCTAGGTCCCCAGACACCTCCCACACCGGGATTTGGAGAGATCGGTGTAAATCTATGCCTGTCTCTGGGGAAGACAAACAGCTCCAAGGCCCATAATGTCCCCTGGGGCATGGGTGCTGGCTCAGATGAGCACAGCAGCCCACATGACACTCAGGAAGCCATGTGGGACCGCCAGGCCTTTCAGCCCTAGGACTGTGGCCCTGTTCCTTATTCCTGCAGTGGCCTATGACATCAGTAAGGACTGGGCAAGACCTCAGGCTGGCACTTTCTCTGGACCATGACACTTCTGTGTGACTGAGATCTGAGTCTTTCAGACCTTATGAAATACAGAGCCCCTGGAGTACCCCCGAGAGGCTGACCAGCTGGCCCAGGAGATTTTGAGGAGCACAAATGTGGCCTGACTGCCTGTTCCATACAGCACCCAAACTGCCGAGTAGAAGCCCCTGTCTCCTGAATCGCCTCCCAGTCCAGGGCCCTTCCCGCCAGCTCCACTTTTCCCTGGCTCCCGGTCTCTCCCTCTGGTCTGTGTGACCTCAGGAGGGCAGTGCCTGGCAAGCACTCGGGTGGCCCTGCTCCATCTGCTCTTCTTCCTTGCCTGGTTCTGTGCCTGTGGCGCTCCCAACTGACACCCTCAGTGTCCATGGGTTCCTGCCATGTGGATGAGAACTCGAGGTGCCTGCGGCCTTTCCCCAGGGCTGTCACCGTGCCCTCTGCACACCGCCTTGGGGAACGCAGTCTCTTGGTGAGACCATAGGTCGTGGTGGGCAGGCAGGACCCACAGGTGTACAGTCTCTTGGTGAGACCGTAGGCCGTGGTGGGCAGGCAGGGCCCACAGGTGTGCAGTCTCTTGGTGAGACCATAGGTCGTGGTGGGCAGGCAGGGCCCACAGGTGTACAGTCTCTTGGTGAGACCGTAGGCCGTGGTGGGCAGGCAGGGCCCACAGGTGTATGTCACCAGGGCTACCCGGTCCTCAGGGCCCACCTTAGTGATGCCGGCCCCGGTGGGTCTTCCTGACCCCTGCACGTGCCTCCACTGGTTCTGCCCTCCCTGGGTCTGTCTGAAAAGCCCAGCTGTAGCAGGCACTGTTCACAAAAAGAAGAAATGCCCTTTGCCCATGCCCCGCCCACCGCAGCCTCCAACACAGTGACGTGTGCTCGCTGGCTGCTCACCAAGTGGCTCTTACATGGCTGTAGTGGCTTCTTGAAACCGCATCTTCACCCTTGTTTCTTAAAACTCTCTATTTGACATCAGCATGAGTCTGAGATTCTTCCATTCCCGAATCCAGAGAGGAACTTCGTCCTTCCAGAAGAGATCATTCAGGAGGTCCGAGAAGGTGAGACTCGGGAGAGGTTGGGCTTGGGAATCAGAAAAGGCCAGACCCTGGCCAAGGGCGGGGAGGTGAGGGTGAGGACCCCGGGCCTCCAGGGAGGTGTGAGGGTCCAGCGCAGACCCCGCCCCACCTGTGCTTGGGTGGTCTTGGAACCTCCGGGATTGGAGAGGACTTTGTTTGAGAGCAGTGGCTGGACGGAAGCTGAGGCCCGTGTGGGCAGCAAGCGTCGGAGCAGTCCCTGGCCTGACCATCCCCCAGCGTCGGCCACCACCGTGGGTTTTCGGTGAGCGTCAGCTGTCTCCTCCACAGGAAAAGTGATGATAGAAGAGGAGATGAAAGAGGAGATGAAGGAAGACGTGGACCCCCACAATGGGGCTGACGATGGTGAGTGTGGAGCTCACCCTGCCTTAATGCCCTTTGGGGCTCAGCACCCTGAAGCCACCCTCAGGCAGGGCACAGTCAGGTGGGCGTAGAGCCTGCGGTGCAGAGGCCCCGGGCAGGACATCTAGGCACAGGATGGATCCTGCAGTGCCCCCTCCACAGGAGCTGAGTTCCGGCTCCGTGTTGTAGGCTGGGGTCTGAGCGGTGGTCCCTGCAGTGCCCACAGCAGGGAGGTCCTCAGGAGGACCAGGCCCCTCTGCAGGCCCACATGCAAAGGGCTCCCAGCTCAGGAGGAAGCTTTGGGTTCAGAGGGTCACGTGTCAATATGCAGATTTTTTTAACTGAACAGGAAGACAAAAATAAGATTCTGGATATTCTGTTTTCAGCCAAGTGACTTTTCGTTTCTCAGTTTTTTCATCTTCAGGGAGTTTGGGGAAAGCAACAGAAAAATCCAGCAAAGACAAAGAGAAGAACTCCTCAGACTTGGGGTGCAAAGAAGGCGCAGACAAGCGGAAGCGCAGCCGGGTCACCGACAAAGTCCTGACCGCGAACAGCAACCCCTCCAGTCCCAGCGCTGCCAAGCGGCGCCGCACATAGACCCCTCAGTCCTGGCGGCAGCAGAGAAGCGGGTGAAGAGCTGTGGTCACTGACGGGGTCGGCTGGGTCTGAGTGCCACCGCCCAGGCCACAGTGGTATCACCCCAGTGCCGGGAGCCCACACTGCCCACCCTCAGGCTCTCAGGTGAACGTGGCCGTCAGCGGGGAAACGTGTGTCAGCTGGACCATGTGGGACCCTGATGGACCTGAAAGACCAGGATCAATCCAGCTCAGATGTTGAGGGCTCTGAAGCCTCGTTCTGTCTTCTCTGGAGCAGCTGTGGCTTCCCCAGGGCTGCTTGGTGACATGGATTAGCTCTACATGGGCTGCAGCGTTTGGGATCCAGGCTACCTATAGGGGCATCAGGCCAGGGGAAAACCTCGGATTAGCAAGCAATAAAAACATGACCTCACTCTTCCTCAAAGGAGCCACTGGTCTTCCCTGCGTGACTCAGTTCTTTCCATCTGTTTGTCCCGCTGCAAGCCTGTTTCTGCACTGACTGTGACATCAGAACATGGCCTTCCTGTCACCCCTCCGTGCCACGCACTGACAGCCCCCCCTCCACCTGGGAAACTAAGAACTGGATATTTTGCCTCATTCACTTGTACTGTAACAATGTATATAATTTGGTTGGTATTTCACTATTTAATTTTTAAGAAGCCTATTTTACTAGTGTTTTATATGAACAAAGTACTGCAGAAGTTAAACCTGTGTTGTATTTTTTCTGAGATGTTTTGCTTTAAGAGATACTTTTTGCTCAGTTTTTATATGCCAGATACAGAGAATTTGTAGCGGTTATTTTTGTATGATCTAGTAACTTGCAAACAGACCAAATGGGTGAGAGGCGGGACCGTGCAGCTGTCGGGCTGATGAGGAGGAGGTGGCCGCCCCAGTGCTGATGGAGATACCACTTTTGTGTGACTGCGAACATTAAAGCACAAAAAAATCCAACCTGGAGTTGTGTGATTTTCATACCAAAGTGAGTTAACTTTTCCTCCAAAAGGAAGTTTTTATTTTTCCAAGATTTATAACTAAAGCATACACTTAGATGACTTGTTAACATTCACTTGATACAATGTATAAACAAAATAGTAACAGATTCTGAGTGGTTATTTTGTGGACTGTGATAAGCACTTAAAATACAAAATGTTAGGAGGGCAAAACGGTGTGGGCCCTGGTAGGTCAGGCAGGCACCAGCGAGCTCCTTCCTGCTGAAAGCTGCGGCTGCAAGATGAGACCGCTGGCTGGGCCGCAGAGGGAAGTCCAGTGTTCCATGTGTGGACAGGGGGACAAGCGCTGTCCTGGCCAGCCAGCGCACCCCAATGTCCAGCTTGACGCTGCTTCTCTGCCAGTGGAGTCTCCTCCACATGGGAACGTCCCTGGCCGTCTGTCCCTGGAATCCTCCTCACCATGACTCAGAGATCACAAGGCACCCACTAAAGAGGCAAAGCCAGGAATCCCGTGGTGTGATCGCCCCGTGTGGCACCTGGTGCTGGTCTGCACCAAACCCGCTGTTGCTTCTGGGGCAGAAGAGCCCAGGGAAGCTGCTGGTCTGTGGCCTGCCCAAGCTGCACTCCCAGGGTAGGGCAGCTGCCTGGGGGACCCTGTGGGTCCCTTTTCTATAGAGCCGGGACAAATCCACAGCCCTGCTGTAACAGCCTGCCACAAAGAGCAGGCACCTGGAGGGCCCCACACGCCTAGACCGAAGGACTGAACCTGCCTGGCATTCCTCCACTCACACCCCAAATACTCAGCCCTGCAGCCAGGGAAGGGTGGGGTCTCCCTTTGCTGCCCAAGTGTGCCCCCTTGCCTGTCCGATCTCTCCTGTGAGGTCAGACTCAGGGCTTTGTGCCAGGTCCTGTCCTGGAGTCTCGATCTGGGACAGCAGTGTGGCTCCTAGGTACTCCAGAAGCAGCAGGGGAAAGGGGGACAAACGCTAACACAGGGTGTCACGGGATGGCCAGAAGGAGTCGTACTCTCCACCCAGGCTCACTGTTGTAAACCTCCATCTGAAACTGCATCTTGGGTGACCTGAGATTGTGCTGGGAAAGACTGGTTAATAAATCTGCCTTATCTCGATTACTGTAACATTTTGCTGCACTTTCAGGAGAAAGCGAGAGCCCACAGAGTAAGCCCACTGGGCAGGCAAGCAGCATGCCCCCCGCCCCGGGCCTCCCCTTCTGGACGAGAGGCTGACTGGTTGAAGTCAGGAGCCATGCAGCCCTTATGGACTCACAGGGACTTCCAGGCTTCCTTGTGGGGAGGCCCCGTTCACGCTCTGCTGGCAGGTGGGATGACCACGTCAAATTCACGAGTGTTGGGGCAAGGGTGATGTGGCCTCCAGTCCTGGTCAGCGCTGTACTTACCCCCTCCTGGCCCTAGGGGTCCTGTCTCTAACCTGGGGGCTTTATGTAATGCATACTCCACCATGTCATGTAGAAGGTGCAGACTGAACACAAATCTGAAAAGGAAAACGGAGCTGGCATGAGGCTGACCCGTGCACCGACGCTCAGGTGCCTGCTGCTGTAGAGGCGAGACATGGCACAGTGCGTGCTCAGGACAAGATCTGAATGGGTCAGAAGCCGCCGCTGATGTTGAGCCTGGAAGCCTCAGCAGCGGCTGTGCCTGGGACACCCAGGGCCTGAGAGCACCTGCTGCCTCAGAGACATTTTTCTCTATGGCTGGCAGCTGGGGTGGGGACTCAGTGAAGGCTGAGAGTGGGAGTGATCTGAACTCCCCTGCCTGCCCCACCCAGGGCGACCCAGGGGTGACTGGGAAAGGCAGTTGGGCTCTACTGCTCCCCAAATAGCAGCGAATAAATACTGAGCGGCAGGGCACTGGCAGCGAGGCTCCCTGCTTGGCTGGTTGATTGAGGACAGGGCATGCTTGGGCCAAATCACGTGGCTGCCACTGGTCTTACCTGGAGAAGATATGAAGGCTGAAATCCAAGCCCCGAGCCACACAAAATTCTGCTGGGCTCCTTAGCTGTGAGCAACACCTGCTCCAGGCACATCACCTACTGCATGTACAGAAACCATTGCCCTTCGTGAGTGCCTGGGAGCTGTGTGTGTGTGTGTGTGTGTGTGTGTGTGTGTGTGTGTGTATGTGTGTGTGTGACAGGGAGGGAGGGAGGGAGCGGGGGGGGGAGAGAGAGAGGGAGAGAGAGAGAGAGAGAGAAAGTGACAGAGAAAGAGAGCCCCTTTCCCCAGCCTCAACAGCAAACCCTTCTGGAATGCCGAGCCATACAGGACGTCACTGAACTGCAGATGACACTCTGAAGAAGCAATGCTGTTGCACAGTCCCCTGCAGCAGCTCCTGCACTTCTTGGATCAGCATGCCCCCGAAATGAGCTCTGCACGCGCACACACACACACACACACACACACACATACACGACACAAAAGCAACTAAAGAAGAAATTTGGTGTGATATTTGTAAAGAAGCAATTCAGTGTGGTGATATTTGTAAAACACAAGTTGGGCAATGTCCCTTAATACTCTTTTTAGGGAAGTGGTTCTATATCCTGCCAACAGTAGGCAGCAGCAGGAATGCTGCCCCCTTGGAACAATGTTGTCAGCACCCAGTATGCTTGTCTTTCTGTTTTCTGGGGGCAGTGGAGGGAGCGGCCTGCCCACCCAAGTCTCAGATCATCCAAACCCTATACAACCACCCAGCACCCATCAACGTCCCCATCAGAGCCTCCCCACCCCCACCCCACCATCTATTCTGATGCTGTAAGCAGATCCCAGCTGTAAAGCATCTAACAAGAAGGTCAGGCAGCTCACTCAGTCTCCCTGGGAAACCTGCCCTGGCTATTGCAGTAAGTTGATTTGCAGAAATGTCCAGAGCCCCAAAACTTCGGGGAATCACTACTGTCGTTTTAAGAAAGGGAGATGTATGTCCACAGGTTCCAACCACTAACACCAGTTAGCACCTGCTAACAACGGTCAACAGGTCAGCAAAGATTAGGGCCCAGCGCCCAGAGAGTCCTTAACCTGTACTTGTGACCAGGATTGGAACACTTCCGTTCACGGCTATCCCTGGCACATAGTACAAGGAATGTCACCAGTTCCCAGGTCCAGGCAGCCTGAGGCCTGCCAGTGGGCCTGCAGGGCTAGGAGATGGCAGTGTCCCCTGGGGGCTGGGCTGGGGCCCGCTCCACCTGTCCACCACCATCATTCCAGGGACAACTCTGCCGGAAGCTATCCTCATGGCCAAGTCCAAAATCCAGATTTAGTTTTACCTAAATTTTTTGAAATGAAGTGGTATAGTAGTTACAGAAGAAGTTTATCTGGGTGGTCACTCCTGATTTGTATTCCAAGAGGTCACCAACTTTGCCATGTATCACCAGCAGATGTCAAAGGTGGATGAGCAAGGGACCCGCGGTGCTGGGAAACGGCAGCTGAAAGTGACTGTGCGCTGCCCCAGATCTGCTAGTACTTAGAGAGACGGCCCTGAGGAGGCACTGAACTGGCATCAGCTGTGTTGAACCGTCCCCAGGGTGACCCTCCTGGTGGCCCAGGCTTCGTGTGCTCCTCTCCCCTGAGTGCCTTCTTACAACTGAGAGAAGATGGCGAGAGAAGATGACAGCTTGCCCATGTCATCTTGGTTATATAAGACTCGGCACCCTAGAGAGAAAGACTCCCTTGGTGGCTTCGAAAAGAAAACAGACATGCCTCGCACTGCCTGTGGAGGGACAGGGGTCCGCCAGCAGCTTCCAGGAGCTGAGTAAGGCCCCCGGCCCGCAGCAAAAGGACAGGGACCCCCACAAACCCAGCTTAGGGAGAGAGGCCCCTGTGGACCTGTGGCCCCTCCAGGGGTTATCCTCCAGGGGCCATTCTTCTGATGGGGACATCCTCTGGGGGGATTTCTCTTGGGGGACAGAAATATTCTTGGAAGGGGGGATTATCTGCGGGGCAGGCGTCCTCCGGGGAGAGAATCCTGCTGGGAGAACATCATCCGGAAGACATCCTTCCGAGGTACCCGGCTCATCTTCCGGGAGACGGTCCTCTGGGGGGCGGGCAGCCTTTGGGGACATTTTCGGGAGGGAGGATCTCCTAGGGCGGGCATCCTTGCGAGACGGGGTGGGGCGAATCCTCCCGGGTGGGCATCGTGGGGTGGGGGTGGGCGTTCTACGAGGGGCATCCTCCCGGGCGGACGTTGGGGGATTCTCGGGGGAGGGAGGGGCGCCGGGGCGGGCGTCCCCGGGAGGGAGGGGCGTTGCGCGCGGACGCGGGCGGGGCCTGGGCCGCTCCCTCCCCTCCCCCGCCCCGCCCCGCCCCCCGCGCTTCCTCCGCTTTAGGTTTCGCTTCCGCCTCTAGCGCGAGCCCCGCCGCCGCCGAGCATGGACGACCCCGACTGCGACTCCACCTGGGAGGAGGACGAGGAGGATGCGGAGGACGCGGAGGACGAGGACTGCGAGGACGGCGAGGCCGCCGGCGCGAGGGACGCGGACGCGGGGGACGAGGACGAGGACGAGGAACCGGAGGAGCCGCGGGCGGCGCGGCCCAGCGCGCTCCAGGTGCGGCCCGCGGCGCTGACAAGGCCTGGGGTCCCCGGCGCCCCCCGCCTGGCTGCGTGGACCGGAGACCCCCCTCTCCCGGGCGGAGACACCTGGTGTCTCCTGGAGCTTCCGCAGCCCCGGGGACCCCACCCCAGACCGGCCGACCCCGGCCCCAGGGCCCGGCGGAGAAGTGCGGGGGCCGCGCGTGGGTGATAGAGCCTCCCGGGCCCCATCGTGCGTGGGAGCCGTTTCCCCCAGGGGTGCCTCGGGCGCGTCCCGTCTCCGGCCGCAGTGGCCGCCCCCGATGGGACCCCTCCTGCCTCAGGCCAGCGCCTTGGCCTCCTGGCGGCCCCTGCGCAGGCCCCGTGGCCTGGGGCTGGGTCTGGAGCCCGGGCCGGGGCCGGGTCTGGCCTGGGAGGCTTCGCTTCTGCACCTGCGGGAGCCCGGGGCTGGCTGGTGGGGCCTTTGCCTGTTACTTTTGTTACCGCCGGGCGCCTGTCAACGCCAGGGTTACTTTTGTTGCTAGCGGCTCCCTGAGCCGCGCTGGGAACGCCGCATTGTCACAGTCCGGTCCCGGTCGGGGAGCTGGGATTTATTTGGGAGCGTCCTTCCAGCTGAGCTGCCCGGGTTGTGGGGCCCGGGAAGTATCTGGAACTCCGAGCCATAGGCTCCGCATGGTTTCTCCCCTTGGCACCCAGCACTGTTTGCGTTTGCGCCTGGCCATGGTGGAGTGGGCAGTGAGAGAGCACGGAGGGGCTGGGCCCTGTCGCCGGGAGGGCAGCTGCCAGGCAGGCTGGGCAGGGGGGCGGGGTCTGGCACTGTCCCCCAGGACGGCGTGACCCCTGGGTGAGCTCTGACGGGCTCCCCTCACTGGAGTTCCTCAGGCCACTCTCCTGAAGCGGTGCTCAGAGGCCCTGACCATCCTGCCAGGCGCCTGTGACCTTTGACCTCTTCCCTTCTGCCTCCTGCTGTGGCTTCTGTCCCCAAGCCCCTCCCCTTCTCCTCCAGACCCCTCAGGCCTCCTGAGCTGCCTGTGCTGGACCCTGGCGGGGCTGTTTCACTTTCTCCTGGGCAGTGTCATGTGTGCACCTGTGGGCTGACTGTGGCCACGTGCAGGCAGGACCCAGCCTCCAGAACTGACCCAGGGAGGCTCCCGCTGGCCCCAGGAAGAAGTAGAAACTGATGGCTGGGCCGGTCGAGAGAACCACAGGAGCAGGCCCTGTTGAGAAGTCAGGCTGACAGGCTGGTGGTGGTGGCTCAGGCCTGTAATCCCAGCACTTTCGGAGGCCTAGGTGATCAGATCACCAGAAGTTAGGAGTCCAAGATTAGCCTGGCCAACATGGTGAAACTCTGTCTCTACTAAAAACACAAAATTAACCAGGCGTGGTGATGGGCACCTGTAATCCCGGCTACTCGAGAGGTTTAAGCAGGAGAATCACCGAAACCTGACAGGTGGAGGTTGCAGTGAGTGGAGATTGTATGAAGCTCCCATCTCCGGGGGAAAGAAAAAGAAGGAAATCAGGCAAAGAGGCAATGCCAGGCCCCAGCCGGAGCTCAGCGGGGAGCCAGGGGATACAGTGGCTGACTGGGCCTCCCAGACCCCCTTCTAGCACTCCCCGGGGATCCTGGGTCCCAGTTGTTGCCCTGGACAAGCACACCCATTCCTGCCCTACCCACCAAGTAGGGCTCAGCCCCAGCCCCCCTACCCTCATCACAAGGTCAGGGCTGTGTCCCAGCATCCTCATCACTAGGTACTTCCAGCCCTTTGCTTAGCCTCATGATGCTTGGCCTGCAGAGATGGGGGCTGAAGGGCTTGGGGCATCAAGAGGACCTGACGTCTTGCTGAGAAGCCATCTCCAGACAGGGCTGGAGGCTGGAGACTCAGGGCCTGACCTCACCATGGCCAGTGAGGTGTGGGGTTGGGCAGGGAAGGGGCATTCATTCATTAGACCCTGCCAGAAGCACCTGGTCCCCTCCTGGGGCTATAGGTGGTGAGGCCACTGCCCCCAAGAACCCAGCCTGGTGACTTCAGAGCACAAAGCAGGGGGAGTCTCCAGGGGCACAGAACAGAGGCTAAACCCAGAGTGGGGGGTGGCCAGCAGGCCTAGGAGGAGGAGAGGGTCAGGGCCACACCCCTGGGGAGGTGCACGTCAGCCAGGGGCCATCCTAAGGTGGAAACCAGGAGTCCCAAGGGGGCCTATAGAAGGAGCAGACCCCTACTTGGCTACTGTAGCCCTCTCTGGTTCTGTGCAGGGTGTTCGGGTACTTTACTGAGCCCCAAATATGCCCCACTGGGAACCCCCGAAAAAGAACCAGGGCGGGAGAATGAAAGGGAGGAGCCGTGAAACCCCCATCCTTTAAAGACAGGCCCGGGCCCTGCAGCCCTCACCACGGTGGGGGCTCACTTGGGGGTCTCCTGTGGGAGTCCTAATCCCATCTCTTCTCTTCCCAGTCCAGGATGACGGGGTCCCGAAACTGGCGAGCCACGAGGGACATGTGTAGGTACCGGCACAACTACCCGGTACGTGCCTGCCCCTGCCCCAGGACACAGAGCCCTCCCCCCAGCTGCTCTTCTCAGAATGTCCCGGCTT